GCACGGCGAAGGTCCGGTCGCGCTGGATCAGGGTCCGCACCAGGCTCACCTCCTGCGGGCGCGAGAGCTGCAGCGGCAGGGTCTGGCCCGGGATCAGGATCAGCGCCACCTGCGGCAGCACCGGGATCACCGGGCAGCTGTCGTCGTCGTGCAGGGTCCGGCCGTGGAACTCCTCCATGTCGGGCCCCAGGTACTGGGCACGGGGACAGTCGCGGGGGGACAGCGCTGAGGCCCCAGGGCACGGCCCGCGGGGACCGCCAGACGCCCGCCCCCGAGGCAAGAAAGCCCCGAGCAGACTCGGAGTTCCGGCTCTAAGGTGATGCCCGTGGGCGGGTTCTAGAGCACCTTCTTGGCTCAGAATCGTTTGATAATGAGAAAGACCACGCCCAGGTCCGCAGAGCGCGAAAAACAAATAAAATAACAAGTGTCCAGAGTCCTCCGGCAGCCCCGTCACTCAGCAGCACCGAGAGTGACGGCAAGAGACGCCCCAGCCCCAGCCTGCCCACCCCCGGCCCCCCCAGCCTGCCCGTCGCGCGCCCTGGCCCTACCATGTGTGACGTGGGCAGGCTGGTGTCAAAGTTGATGACACTTGGCTTTTTGGCCTCTTTGCTATCGTGGTCCTCAACCTCCATCTCGATTTCATCTTCCTCCTCGCTCTCCGCTGCGAAGGTCGAGCAGTGTGAGGAAACAGGCACAAAGCCCAGCTCGCGCCCGCGGGCAGCGCCCGGGAGGGCTCCGGGCCAGAGCGGGCCCCACCCCGGCGGGGTCTGAGCTGGGCTGGGCCACCTCCTCCTCCCTGGCCGCTGCCCTTCCAGCGCCCCAGGACTCAGGGTGCGCAGGGCGGCTGCTATGCCGGTACCGAGCCCCCTGGACGTCCACCCGGCCCGGGCTGGCGCTGGGTGGCCACGCCATCGGCCTCCACTCCAGAGTCCGGGCTGGCACACGCTCGGCCACAGCCGCAAGGACGCGGTGGCCCTCGGCGTTCTGGAGCGTCCGGTCGGGGCGACGGGCCGGACGGTTTTGAGGGGCGCTGCCCGGCACCGCGTGGCGCCCTAAGATCTGCCGGATCTGTGACCTGGCTGAGGGCCGTGCTTGGAGGACACCAGAGCAGAGCCCGGCGCCGCCTCGCGCCCCTCGCCACGGGGGTCTGCGGCAGAGTCGCCTGCACGGCCCTCGCCTCCCTGGGGGGCGCACGAGGCCTGATGGCGCCTGAGACCACTCACCCCACCTGCCCAAACCACATTTCCTCGTCTGAAAATGAGGCCCCAGAAGACGCCGCCGAGGGTCCGTCGCGCTCTCACGCAGCACTGGAGCAGGAGAGGCCGCACGGGAAGAGTCGCCCAGCACATGGCGCCCTCCTCACCTCGCCAGAGGCGCTGCTGCTGGTCGTCACTAGAGTGACACCTGTCTACGTGACCGCTGCTCTGGAATCTTAAAATCGAGGTCTGCACAACACAGAACGTTTCAAACGACACCCTCAGCTCCCGCACGCTGGCTTGGAACTGTGGCGGCAGGCGGCTGCCGTAGCAGGAAACGAGGAGTCACCGCGGAGAGTCTCCAGCCTCCTCCTCGCCAGCTCCGGGGCATTTCCCGTCCTGGACTGCGGCTCTCAGCCCGGGCCGCTGCCCCTCGGGGGCCTTCGGAAATGGCGAGCCCTGGTGGGCACAGCCAGGGAGCCCCATGAGGACACGGGACAGAGCCAGGACCGCGCTGGCCGCAGACCCGGACGGGCCGCCGCCAGGGCCCCCCCAGCGTGCCGAGGTCAGGGCGCTGCCCCGGGCAAGTCACCAGACGCTCACTGCGTCTTCGCTCTGCCTGGTCCACGTATTCAGACGCCCCGGTCGGGAGAAAGTGCCACCACAGAACAGCCGTGTTCCTGTCTCCTGCAATCACTTAACGCAAACCACCCCCAGCTGGGTCCCAGGCAATAAACGCCCTGGACTTTCCCCTGTGCGACGAGGCCTGGCCAGAGAAAGCCGCTACTTCAGTGCAGGTGTGACCGGCCCATCACACCTCACACAGGCTCACCCGAGAACGTGTAAGCTGCACCGAGCCCCAGAGAGCATCTGACCGGTGAGGAAATGCCAGCCAGCAGCTCTCAGGGAGGCCCCGCCGCCCTCCCGCACAGCAGCCTCCCTGGGGAGTGTCGCTCTCTGGGCGGCGCCCACCAGAGCTCCCGCCCCGCAGCAAGCCCATGGGAGCGCTCAGGGCTGCCTGGGGGGTGACCCGGGAGCCTGCCGGACCCTTACTCCTGTTTGCCAGTGGTTTGCAAGCTCCCACCGCCCGGAGCCGGAGCGGCATCTGCTGCCTCAGCTCCTGAGCCCAGGAGAGCCAAGAGCCGAAGAGCACAGCGCTGAGCCGCAGCCCACACACCGGTCTTGATGTTGGCTCCGCAGGGGGCTTCCGGGGCGCCCTGCCCCGCCCCGCCCATTACACAGACACGCCAGCCCCCGACGCACAGGCCTGACCACAACTGCTTCTCGGTAATTCCCGAAGAAGCCCGCACCCCACAGCAGCTGCTGCGGGCCTCATGCTGCGCAGCCCGCCGACTCGGAGCTGGAGCCCCCAGGTCCAGGGCGCAGGCTTCTCGCGCTCTCCGGGCGCCAGGTCCCTCAGCCGCCACGGGGCACCGCCGCCCCATCCGGGCTGGGCCCAGCAGCCCTCGGGCCGGTCTCCACTTCCACAGGCCGGAAGCAGCGCTGACCGCCGGCCTCCCCGCGCTGCGAGTCACACCTGCACCACACGCTCGGCTCGGGAGAGGCCCAGCACGGACCAGCGCTGGGCGCTCCTGGCTCCGCCCGGCACGTCGCCGCGCCCTCGGCCTGCCGGCTGCACACGGACCAGCCTCTGCGCCCTCCGGGCTCGGCCAGGGTGGACGGCCGAGGGGCGGGGGCGGCAGAGGGACCCCTCCGAGCCCGCTCCCGGTGCGAGGGCCACACCCGCCAGGTCCTGCCCAGGGGCTCACACAACTGCGGCCGCGCCCCAGGGGCGGCAGCCGGCGGGGGCAGCGGTGGGCAACAACGTGCAGACCGGACCGGGCCTTGCAGAGCGGCCTCCGGGCCACACACAGCGAGCCGTCGCGGCCGCGGCGAAGCCGGCGTCTCCCGGACACGCCGGGGTGCAAGCCTCGGGGCGGGGCTGGCGGGAGG